AGGCAGGAGACTCGCTTGAGCCCAGGAGTTGGAGGTTGCTGTGAGTTGTGATGCACTCTACCCAGGGGGACAGCTTGAGGCTCTGTTTCAAAAAAAAAGAATCTCACAGTAGACCCATCTTGTCCTAACATGCTAATTATAAAAGTAATGACATTCAAAGAACAAAATGTGATAGCCAGATAGACCTTCAGCTAACCTAACCAGAAATAAAAGAGTAAAATCTCTAATTTCAACAATCAGAAATGACAGAGATGAGATAACCACAGACTTCGCAGAAATTCAAAAAAATACTTAATGAATATTACAAAACAGAGCAGCAACAACAAAAAGAAAAATTTCTAATTCCTTTTTTACAGATATTAGTATAAATGTTTTGGTATATGTCCTAGCAGGGGTGACCAACCTTTTGGCTTCTCTGCACATTGGAAGAAGAGGAGTTACTTTGAGCCACATGTTAATACACAAACAGTAACAAAAACTGATGAGTAATGCTGGGTGCAGTGGCTCACACCTGTAATCCTAGCACTTGGGAGGTCGAGGTGGATGGACTGCCTGAGCTTACAAGTTTGAGACCAGCCTGAGCAAGAGTGAGACCCCTGTATCAAAAAAACAGCCAGGCATTGTGGTGGGTTCCTGTAGTCCCATCTACTCTGGAGGCTGAGGCAAGAGAATTGCCTAAGCCCAAGAGTTTGAGGTTGCGGTGAGCTGTAACACTACAGCACTCTAACTAGGGTGACATAGAGAGACTCTATCTCAAAAAAAAAAAAAAAAAAAATGAGCTGAATATCTAGTCCATCTGGAAATCAGTGTCCTTATGGCACAGAAAGATATAAGCAGAAGTGACAAATGGAAACATACATGTACCAAAATACCAGTAAAAGAGGGATTCTTAGAATGATCAGACCTAAAGTTGACTTACGACTTCAGAGACATACAAGAGCTCTCCTTCTAATCTAGAGTGTAAGTTTTATGGTATTAAATTTGGTCCAGTGATCAAAATTTCAACCCAGAATTCTATAACTTCATTTGTGTAATTTTAGCTTTTACTCAAATTAATGAAATAACTAAAAACCACTGTCTTTTTTTTTTTTAAGGGACAGAGTCTCACTTTGTTGCCCTCAGTAGAGTGTGATGCCATCACAGCTCACAGCAACCTCCAACTCCTGAGCTTAGGCAATTCTCATGCTCAGCCTCCCAAGTAGCTGGGACTACAGGTGCCTGCCACAACGCCTGGCTATTTTTGTTGCTGTTGTTGCAGTTTGGCCAGGGCTGGGTTTGAACTCACCACCCTCAGTATATGGGGCTGACATCCTACTCACTGAGCCACAGCCACCACCCCTGGCTTTTTTTTGTTGTTGCAGTTCAGCAAGGGCCAGGTTTAAACCCACCACCCTCAGTATATGGGGCTGGTGCTCTACTCACTGAGCCACAGACACCACCCAAAACGACTGTCTTTTTAAACAAGATGCAATTTGTTAAAAATAAGAGCAAACCTTTCCACTCGGACGGTGAGGTCCTCTGCAGGTCTCTGATTTGAACATCCACTAGGCTCCTGAGAGGGAGTGGCATGGCCTAAACTTTCTCCTCCTAAATTATTAAATAAAAAGAAATAAGAATACTGTATTTAATGTAATTTTTTTAAAGGTATAAAGCTTCTAGGTTATGATATCTATTAATAATCTCATTTTTCTTTTTTTTAAACATGGAGTCTCATTCTGTCACACTAATATTTATTGATATCGACAACAAATCTCGCAAATCCTTTCTAAATAAATTGTGGACAAGTTAGAGGGGGGAAAGTGCTGGATAACTATATGGCTAAGTAGATCTATAACCCATAATCAAAGAGAAATGCATAGGTGTCACACACAAGAATATTTCTAATGGTATGTACCACAGTCTTCAGTCTTTGGCATTTTATAAACAACATCAAGATGCAGCACATGTATTTGTAATTTTATGAGTGACCTAAAACTGGGTGAAATCACTTGTTAGCACCATATCTAACTGCTAATTCCTGAAAGTTTTGAATAGGAGGAAATAAAAACCCTCAATATGCTAAACAACTGATAAAACCCAAACATAATGAAAATTAATTAAAAATTTGCCCTTTAGTTTGAAAATGTCAACTGGATTATCAACTGCATCTCTTGATAGAAATATATAATACTAGAGGCTGAGCATGGCTGCTCATACCTTTAATCGAGCACTCCGAGAGGCCAAGGTGGGACGATCACTTGAGCTCAGGAATTCGAGACCAGACTGAGCAAGAATGAGATCCCGTCTCTATTAAAAATAGAAAAACTAGGGCAGCACCTGTGACTCAGTGAGTAGGGCATCAGCTCCATATACCGAGGGTGGCGGGTTCAAACCCAGCCCTGGCCTAACTGTAACAAAAAAATAGCCAGGCATTGTGGCAGGTGCCTGTAGTCCCAGCTACTCAGGAGGCTGAGGCAAGAGAATCGCCTAAGCCCAGGA